CAGTAATAACAAGAGGTGTGTGTATATATATATATATATATATATATATATATTACAAGTGCTTTTAATGACTATCAATCTTTTTCTTTTCCTCTGGATAGGTTTCGAAGTACCACTTTATATATTCGTCTTTCATCTGTTCACGACGTGCAAAGTATTTAGGATATCTGGCCTTCTCTAAGGGATGCCAGTAATCCAAGACCCAATCTGGGATTTGACACTCTCGGTTGTATGCCCCTCCTGTAGCCGAATTGGCGAACGTTATCGGTTGAGGATGTATCTTAGAGAAAAGCTCTTTTTCTCCTTCATCCAGCAGATACTTTGCATGACGCATATCCTTTATGTCCTTGTTCTTGTCGAAGCGCTCTCTCAATAAAGCAATTTCATACCTATAAAAGAGCATAACCAAAATATAATTATCAACTTCGTTATGTTTAGATATTAAGCTGATTCAGGCTTTAGAATTTTCTATGAGTTACAATCATTCTTTGTGAATAAATTAAATTCTTTTGTTTTAATTACATGTTGACTACAGTCCATTCTGTATTAAAAATAATTTAAAGCCTCCTTTGAATTAAATTATTTGAACAAAGAATTTTATTGACTGAAATTAAAATATGGTTCAAAACATTTGTAGCATTAAGCTTTTATATTTGTATTTCTATTTCTTTCCTTAAAAACTGACACTATTTTATTTTTTATGCGCGAGCACAGTTAAAAGGGAACAATATTGACTAGTAACTTTTAATTCCAGATCCAAGGTGCTTTTACTCCGATTATTTTAATTGACTTATGTCTATTTCTATCAATGTGAAATAATTTTAATTTTAAGTTTAATTTATCTTTTATCTTTTTCTAATTCTTAAGATTAAAAAGAGATTAAGAATAAATTAAAACTCTTGTTCACTACTATCTCAAATTGTAATGTCAGAAGTGAGAAAACACAAAAATTCTTGCAAAATATATTTAAACAGAAAAATTTTAATAAAACAAAAATTTGCAATTAATAGAACAGATTTATAAATTATATTGAAAGCTATTTTTGTGATTACACTCACATGAAGGGGAGAAAGAGGCAAAGAGAAAGAGAGGGAATGAATGCCAAATTGTTCCAATTGTCGATTCAAGTCACCTTTGGCGACGTACCTTCGATCGTGCGTATGATGATACCAGTCCTCTATGCAACGCACAGCCCGTTTATACAGTCTACATACTTTCTGTTGATGCGATATAAGCTCAGAGGGAAGATGTGCCATCGTTTTCGTATGCAAACCGTAATCCTCTCCACCAAAAAATCAACCCTCACGATAAGCGTGTATGTACTATAGAATTACGAATCTGAGATTACAAATTCCTATTGCTTTTCGATTACTAGCGTCATGTAGCGCCATCACGTTTTTAGGGTGCTACTACACTTGTCATATAATGAATTTATCGGACATAGCGATTGACTGCTGGTAAGTATTCAAATAATTTTAAAAGTTAAATTCTTTTTCGGAGTCATTGAGCATGTCATCAAAATTTATGCAAAATAATGAAATTTGAATAATCGCTTTTTGATCATTTTTTATTTATTTTGACGCTGAAAATAAATATCGAACATCAGCATGAAAAGACACTCACTAATTTTTTTGTGTTATATGTACTAAAGTTGAGTAGTAATAAATTTTATTACTACCCAACGACAATTCTATACGACAAGACAGTGAAGAGAATTGTGCACTCATTAAAAATTGTGGTTCCTGCAAGAACATTAATATTTCATCTATCAACAAATTTTTTGAATGTATTGTAAAAAATGTTATTAATTCTACAATCAATAAGAGTCTTACCATTTTCGATTAATTTAAGTCGATTAAATTTAAAAGTTATCAACTGTAAAACTTAAAGCCATTGCACGTGAAAAAATGTTAGCGTAGTTATAAAGTCGTAAGCAAATTGACCAACCGGAGTTCACCTATTCTCCTCGGGTCCAAAAATAATCGATTGTGATTGGTCAATTTGTTTATTTCATTGTCTTTTACTTCTCTATTTTCACGAGGGACCCGAGGAGAATAGATGAACTCCGGTTGGTCAATTTGCTTACGGCTTTATAACTACGATTAAATTTTTTCACGTGCAATGGCTTTAAGTTTTACAGGTGACAACTTTTAAATTTAATCGACTTAAATTAATCGAAAATGGTAAGACTCTTATTGATTGTAGAATTAATAACATTTTTCACAATACATTCAAAAAATTTGTTGATAGATGAAATATTAATGTTCTTGCAGGAATCACAAGTTTTAAAAGAAATATTCGAAAGGAAAAAGAACGAAAGATGTAGACTAATGAGCGACCAGAGGCGTTACTCTCGTACATATGTACATATATATATATATATATATATATATATATATATATATTATTT